ATCCTCCCTGGGACACGATCAGGTCTCAGGCATGTGTCTCCCTGAATCAGGACTCAGTGATAGGGATTGGGGTGAAGAGATGTAACCTCACGAGCACTGTAGGCCATCAAGGATTTGCCATAGTCTGACTGGGGTAAAACCTCTCACTATAGGTCCCACCTTCACTTCAACCAAGGAACTGGTGCCAAGCTGGCCGCCAAGCCCTCAGGGGTTGATTTCATTCCAGGGCTTGACCGAGCAATGTGCACAACCTCATGGACAGGACCCTAGGCTCAGATCTCCCTAATAAACCTGGGGATTTACTTGGGAAGGCCCCTCAGAAGTCAGAATTTCATCTCCCATATCTGATGCTCCACTGTGACTTCATCTCCCAGCTCCTTGCCACAGGGCTCCTCAGTGGCGCTAGTCAGGTCACTTAACCCAATTTCCCAGTCACAGCTGTGGCTTTTGTTGTGCCCTGAGCCAGTGCTGGAGAGCAGGGTACAAAAGCACTCAGTGCTGGGTAACACCAGAAAGCAGCTGGGCAAACCACAGTGAGGCCCCCCACAAATGAGGAACGCCCAAATCAGCTCTCTGGGGACAGCAATGAGCTGGGCAAGCCTACTGAGGAGCATGGCAGAGGGCAGGAGCCAAAAGCCCAGCACAGATGACAGCTCCTTCTCCATCCCCAGGACCTGGCACATGGCTGAGGGCAGCCATCCACAACCTGGGGAAAGGCTGTCTCCAACTGGCTTCCCAAGACAGTCTATGGCTGTTTTTTCCTACCTGCATGGGGCTTCTTTGGATGGATATTTTGGGCTGGCTGTACCTCCTGGCTCACTTCCTTACTGAAGTACCCCTCTCTGCCATCCCCGTTTGCACAAACAAGCTTCCTGATCTATAAGCATTTTTTTATGAGCCATGATCTTTTTATATATATACACACAGGCACGCATATGTGTGTGTATATATATATATATATAAATAAACAGCTATTGTTTTAATTAGCCATTGTTTCAGAGCTCTGGAAACTGTTCCCTTCTGAAGACCACCCCGAAGGCAGAGATCTGCATGGGTTTACAGCTCAGCTCGCCTTGAGCCTGCCACTCAGGATGACTTTCCACACTGCTTGAGAACTGGGGTGTATAGGCAACCAAGGAGATATGGAAAGCAAAGGCCAGGGCATAGCACCTTTCTGCCTATCCTGAGCTGGACCCCCACCTTGCACTGGAGCTGTTCAGCCCTTATTTTGACCTCCTTCTTATGGCAGACAAGATGATGAAGACCCTGATGGAGACCTCAGTCAGACCCATGGTCAGAAACAAAAGAAAGTGTTTCTTCACACACACACAGAGGCATATAATCATATATTTAACCTGTGCTGCTCTCCCCTAGAGGATACTGCAGAGATTAAAGTCACCCATGAGTTCAGAAAGCAATGGTAAAAGTTCATGGAGGGGAATCCATTGAGCACCATCTGACACAGAGATGTGTTCTGTGGCTTTCTGAGCATCTTCACTGGGACTGACAGTATTACAGAGAAGCCCCTATGTGTGTTGGCTCTATACTTATGTTCTATAGTCATGCGCTGTTGGCCTCCGTCAAAGAGCAGGATGACACTTTTTATGTCTTGCACTGATGCAGACAGAGGCTGAGCACACAAACACAGGGAGGAAAATAGCCACAGAGTCATTTGCTGCCCTCCTTAACATTTTCTAAGCTGGTGGTTTAGCAGCATCAAGATTGGATCCCTACCCAGCAGAGTAGCCTATAGATCTCTCATAATCCATCCATTTTTAGCACTTTTCAAAGGTAATTCTGTGGTGAAGGCTCTGCAAGCTGAGTTATAGCCCCAGGCAGTTTTATACAGCTCAGATCTAAATCCCTGTGAAAAATACCGCCTTCTTATGGAAATCCAGCGGCAGGGAGAGCTATGGTGCCAAGTTGGCACCATGGCCGAATAACAGGGAGAATTATGAAAAAGGAAAAAAGAGCAGGGGGTGAAGGGTGGGAGGAGGGGTAAAGCTTGGAATGGGGAAAGTTTCCAAGAAATCCGCTCCTTGAGCTTATTGGGTTTTTTAAAGCAATATATCTCTATATATGTCCCTGGCCCTTGTGCTTGGAGAAGATCCAGGAGAAGCAGAAAGAACTAATCAAACCTCAATGAGAGCTGTTAGTAGCAGAACGAGTGCCAGCACAAAGGGGAAATTAAAGCAGCGAACAACATTCTAGAGGAAAAAAAAAAAAATTACAAATGTTTGCTTTGTTTTACTAGGGCAAGAATAAAACAATAATTTCAATTAGCTGGCAGCCAGCACCAGGGCTGAGTTCTGTGGTTCCAGACCTGGCTGCAACCTCCACCTGCCTCTGTGCGGAGGAGCGGGGTGAGGCTTGTGCCGAGCAATGGGGTAAGGCATGTTCAGCCAGGCAAACCTAGAAAGCACCTGCTTGCTATGCTAGTCTACTAGAAAACACCAGACCTGACCAAGTTCAAAGGTATGGAGAACTCGGGATTGTCCTGGGTACAAAGGAGGGCTTTGTTTGGAAAGACCTATAGTGCAAGAGGCAAGGGTGCTCTCTGTGGCACTGTAGTGTGTGGCCCACCACAGTTTCTGATGGGTTTCTGCCCAGCAATGAATCAGACTGAAATCTTCTGTGGTTTGGCCTTGAGAAGTCTTGGGAGCCTCCACAGCTTGTCTGTGCTGCAAGTATTTGTCAGTAGTGGCCCCAAAATTTGTATCTCGGCTCTGAAATGGGTTTGCATTAAACCCAAGGGAGCCTTTGGGTCTGCGCCTTGCAGCTTGTGGGAAGCTCTGCTTGCAGGAGAGCAGCCTCAAGCTCAGGTCTAACCTTTACCTTTGGCATCCCTGGGGGCTGGAAAGGGTGTCTCAGGAGCCTGCAAGCTGCAGCCAGAGATGCAGGCTGGCTGCAAGGTGCACCCACGGCCATGGCCTGGCAAAGAATGCCCAACTCAAGGATCCTCCTTGCATGTGGCTGGTATCAAAGTAGCACAGGCTGGGGGTTTAGCCACAGGAGTTCATCAGCAATGGGCATGTAAATCCCATTGGGTCCAATGAGAATGAGGTGCCCAAATATTTTCAGAAATCTTGTCCTCTGTATGTAAGTTCTGAATCTGGTGTCCCATTCATTGTTAGCTTAATGGTATGTTGTCAGCTTACATGTGCTCTCCCTGTTGTCCCCTGGACTGATAACTCCTGTGTCTGGTAAATGGGAAAAACTGGCTTGTTCCCAGCTTTTCCAGCACTACCCTCTCTTAGCTGGCCAAACATGTCTTCTGTCTACCCCACCATCTGCCCATGATATCACAGCTCACCTTCACATAGTCGTATTCACAGAGGTAGGAGGACTCCAAGTCAAAATGCATGAAGTACAGCTTGATTTTAAATCCCTCAGGCACAGAGATGTTCCATGTCACTTCTGAGTCACTGGGATAGGAATCTGGGAAGTTGGGAGACTGGATCTCCCCAAACATGTCCGTCAGCTCAATGGCATCCACTGTGTAGATTAGCAAGGCACAAAAGGCCCATGTCATAGGGTACCTGGAAAACATATGTGAGGAGATGAAATGAAACTCTGGCAATGCCAAAAACTGATGAGGTCTCAAGCAGGTTGTGTAAGGTCACACACTCCAAATATCTGGGAGAGGAGGTGCAGCACTCTGCCACCAGGAGCAGTCCCTCTGCCAAGCCACAGGGAGGTGGACGTGAGGGTGGGAGCTACACGTTGGCCCCATTGAAAGGTGGATGATGCAGGTGCCACACAGGATGCAAAGGCACCTCCACAGTTCTCAGCTCCAGGCACCATCATGAGCTTGGTGTTTTTCATGCTTCTGGGAGCAGCAGCCACTGTCAACACCTCCTTTAATTAATGGGGCTCTGATGGGCAAATCTTCATTTAATGGAAGAATAAACATAAGGATGCTTAATAAAATAATGATGCTTTCTAAATCAGTTTAATGAAAGTATCATGGCAATAACTGCTAAGTATCATTATTAGCACTTTGCCTCATCCTGCCAAATCGGGATTGTTAGGTCTCAATAAACAACACACATCTTTGCAGCTGGGCAAGGATGGACTGGGTCCCCAGCAGTGCAACCCAGCATGTTATGCTCTACTATCCTCCTCTTCTCTTCTCTTCTCTTCTCTTCTCTTCTCTTCTCTTCTCTTCTCTTCTCTTCTCTTCTCTTCTCTTCTCTTCTCTTCTCTTCTCTTCTCTTCTCTTCTCTTCTCTTCTCTTCTCTTCTCTTCTCTTCTCTTCTCTTCTCTTCTCTTCTCTTCTCTTCTCTTCTCTTCTCTTCTCTTCTCTTCTCTTCTCTCCTCTCCTCTCCTCTCCTCTCCTCTCCTCTCCTCTCCTCTCCTTTCTCTTCTCTCTTCTCTTCTCTTCTCTTCTCTTCTCTTCTCTTCTCTTCTCTTCTCTTCTCTTCTCTTCTCTTCTCTTCTCTTCTCTCCTCTCCTCTCCTCTCCTCTCCTCTCCTCTCCTCTCCTTTCTCTTCTCTCTTCTCTTCTCTTCTCTTCTCTTCTCTTCTCTTCTCTTCTCTCTCTCTTCTCTTCTCTTTTCTCTTCTCTTCTCTTCTCTTCTCTTCTCTTCTCTTCTCTTCTCTCTTCTCGTCTCTTCTCTTCTCTTCTCTTCTCTTCTCTTCTCTTCTCTTCTCTTCTCTTCTCTCTTCTCTCTTCTCTCTTTCTTCTCTCTTCTCTTCTTCCCTTTTTTTTCTTTCTCTTCAGTTCTTAGGGTACCACTCATCCCATATGGAGAAGCGCACAGAGGTCGCGGTCCTTAGAGATCTTTTGTCATCAAACTCAGCTTTTAAAAAATCTTAGCCCTGAAGAGTTTGTCCCAGCTTTACTAACTTTCTTGTCCCAGAGGAGGGCAGAAAGGACAGGTAAATCAGTGGCAGTCCACCTGACTTTGCACCACCCTCGAGCTCCATTTGAGCATGAAAGTGAGCATAAACCACATGTTTCTCTGTGCAAGGTGAGAACACTGCCTGTGATGTGGTCCAGACACCAAAGCTGGTGCCATTGCATGGGATTCAGAAAGAGGAGCAGACCTCTTGCACTTTACAACCCAGTGGAGTGCAGAAAGGAAAAGAAACATGCAGGAAATTAGAGCCATTAAAGATGGAAAGTTATGCTTTCTAAAAAGGTACTAAGGCCTGGCAAAGACTTGTAGGTGTGTATTACAGGCACTGGAACTGCTCACATGTACGTGTACACCTGGTTTCAAAATCAGGCTTGATTTGCGTATGCTGGTGAGGAAATTGAAGCACTGTTAGTGGATTATTTTTAACCTGCGTTCTTTCAAAACCAGGGCAATAGATTTCTGGGACTCATTTGTGTAGTTCCATCACTGTTCTCAGCTCTTCATTACAAACCAAAGCTAATAGGAGCTGAGAAATTTGAATTGATTTTTCTTTCAAGCACAGTGAGGTTGAACATGCCTTTTTCTGACAGCTTGTCTGAAACCACAAAAATGTGCGAAGGGAAAATCTGTTTCTCCTCTGGACAGGGTACATGCATGGGGCTGGATGCTTGGCTGGTGAAAATGGGCATCTCCTCCTCAACCTGAATGGGCCTTTTGCTGGTGCAACTCACTGGTTTCCCTTTAAACAGGGGAGACAAAACGACATCAAACTATTTTCTCATGCCAGGAAAATCTTACCCTCACCTAAAGGTGATAAATGACCATGGTGTACACAGAAACCCGAAGCCCTTGCAGCGTGCCCAGCCTCTCTCGCACCTTTTGCCCATGGACCATGGCAGAGCAGTATTCCCCGCCTGCGTGCCCATCACCCGAGGATTCCTTGAGCTCTGCCGGGATGCTGGCACACAAACCGGGCTGCAGCACGAAGCTGAGGCATGAGCAACGCCTGGTTCGCTTGCAGATGGGGAAACCAAAGCCACGGTCATCAGAAGGAAACCTTCCCCAGCGGGATGGCCCCGCTGCTCGGCCGTGCCCCGAAACCACGGCATGCGGGACGCCGGGGTCAGCCCGTTGCGGAGGTACTCACCTCATTTTGCTTCTAGGAGGGTTTGCTGGTGGGTTTGGTGTGGAGGATTGCCGGTTGGTTTGCAGGGGACGGCTTTGCCTCCTTCCGAGTGCTCCGCTGTCCGCCTTATCTCGGTCCGGAGATTTGTGAGCGTGTGTGCGCCTATGTCTGTGTGCGTCTGGAGTTGTTTGGCATTTTCCATGCAGGTCACGCCTTCCCCTGCCTGCAACCGTTCCCCACATCCCCACAGGCACGCAGGCAGACCTGCCTGCATTAGAACCGTCCTCCCCGCCCGCCCGCCGCTCCCTCCTCTCCCGCCGCCCGTGCGCTCCAGCAAAAGCCGCGGCGTTCAGTGAAGTTTTTGTCTTCCCTAATCTCCAGAGTTTTGTGTGTGTGTTTGTGCTCATGCACATTGTCCTTTTTTTTTTCTTCCCCCCCTATAGTCTGCTTTGCCAGATGGCTAAAATTTGCCTCTCAATAGGGTCGGAGGTTTCAGCAAAAACAGAAGGCAAGGACGTGTGAAACAAAACCTGTGCGGGGGGAAATAGCTTTAGTGTTGGTGCTGCAGCTGGGATTGGTGCTCGAGACTTGCTTTCAGCTTCCCACTCAGTGCCGTGCAGCCTTTGGGATGGGAATCTGGTTTCCAAGAAACTTCTGAGTTGTGACAATCTGAGTAAAATCAAGACCTAGTTTGCAGCCTCCTGCAGGACTGAAGAGTCGCTGGGTTCAGCGTTTTGTCCCAGGGCAAAAGAGCAGCTTTAGATGCTGACTCTGCTCAGGAGTGAGAACTTTAAACACTAAAGTTACAGGTTTTGAGTCTGACTCCCTCCTGTCGAGGAAACAGGTAAAAACATGAACGCTCCTCACTAAGCCTCGGGAGATACATTTCCCTTCTCTGTGCCAGGCACAAACCAACTCAACCCCCTCGTGTCTACATAGCTAAGTGGGAAGATCTTCTTGGGCTGCAAACAAGGGAACAGCCTGTAAGAACTCAAAGGATGCAAGTGACTCCCTTGTCCAGAAATGACACCCTCGGAGGCATGAAGAGCAAAACTTTAATAGCTGTTTACCAACTTCAGCTTGAGCTGGTTAATGTAAACCCTGCAGACATCCACTGGCAAGCACGGATTCATATGCGGCATGTTAAAAGGCACACACAAACAAGAGCGGGGAAGAGGCAGGGAAACAGGGATGTGTTGGCACCACTCCTGGAGCAGCAGCTCCCAGCCCTCCCTGGACTCCCCAGCTCGCTGATGTCAGGCTGTGGCGCTGCCGTTAAAGGGGCGATGTTAATTCCAGCCTCTGCGGCGGCTGTGCCCCTCCAGCGATCCGAGAGAAGCTGAGAAGGAACGGCATGGTGTGAAGAGAATAGAGTTTTACTCTTTTTCCATTTCTTGTCTTTGTGTTTGAGGAGTGACAGTTCCTTGGCTTCCCGTGCAGAAGCCACTTCTCTTGCTCCCGTGGGTCTCTGGTTCTGCACTGGGGAAGAAACGGTACCTAGGAGACACAGTGAAGTAAAATAGAAAAATATGAGTGGAAAAGCACTAGAAAACCAGCAGGAAGGCTCCGGGCAAAGGGAAGATCTCAGCCTGACATTATTTGTAGCTCTATTTTGGATGTTTTAACAGCTCATCACTGAACAGACACAAGCTCTCACTCATGTTAACACACCCAGGCAAGCTGATCAAACTAATTAATATGTAAGCAATGTGTCAAATGCAATGCTTTATTTTTGCAAGCAAGTGTGGTCTTGTCTGAGCCCTGACTACATTGTGATCTATTTTTTCCCTGCCTGTTCTGCAGGGTGGGTCCTTCACACATTCATTTTTCCATCAGGATAGCTTTTTGAAACAGCTCCTCTAGTTCAGGGGCAACTTAATTCTGAAGTGACATCTTCTTTGCTTGCTGATGCCTCAAGCCAGATCACCAATGGTCAAAGTCTGTGATAACACTGTGAGGCTGGATGGGGACATGTGAAGTGGCAACAGAAGCTCCATGTGTTTTTGGACCACATTGCTGGGTGTAGCAAGGGCTTAAAGCATACATGCTGACCCCCTAGGCTCTGGAGAGCAGGAGACAATGCCCAAGAGGCATGTCACTGGAGACACTATCAGCAGACCGCTGGGCTGGTTTCCCTGCTAAACTGCCATACCCTGGGTGCTTCCCTTGTCCCGGTCCTTGTCCCTATCAGCCTACCAAAACCCTTGGTGTGCAGAACCATAGCTTCCTGCAGGCTCATGCCAACCAGCTCAGGGGTCAGGGTTTTCTGGCCAGATCTGACCTGTTATAGTGTGGGCTCCTAAAGAAAGTTGAGAGGCAGTGGCTGAGTGGTCTCAACTGCGTTTCTGCCATCCCCAGGTGGCTAAAGCTATCTGCACCCTCATGCATCCCTATTCCTTCCTGCTCCAAACCCCATCTCCAACACCTCCAGTGTCCCAGTCCTCCACTAAGGTCAGGTCTCCAAACAAGTCTTATTGGAATCCTAATTAGCTGGCCTGGGTAATTGCGCTGTCTCCATCAGTTACAGTAGATCAGCCCCAATGGACTCTGCACCCCACTGCTGCTGTGGGTCTAGAGCTGCAGTGCAGGACTGGTCCATGCTGAACCATAGTGCCAGAGAGCAGCCAGGTGGACTTGGTGCTCCAGGTTGCCCCCAGGCTCCTTGCCAATATAAACCCTGTGCTGCAGAGTCTGCTGCTGGGGAGATGGTTGCAGGCCTGCAAAGGGAAAGAAGGTGGTGGAGAATCTGCTCTGGCTGCAACATCTTCTTCAGAGTTATTTCCACCTGAGAGGATGGTTTGCTGTGGCCAGGCCTGGACACTCGCATGGCTGTAAAGGCAAAAAAGTTCACTGAGAGGAGGATGTGGTGCTGGCCAGGCAGGGTGCCAGGCGAGGGTCACCTTGTCGCATGTACTGCTCTTTACCTAAAAGATCCAGCTACAGTTATCTATCTCAATGATGCCAGGGCTGCTGAGTCTTGTCCCCACCTTACTGGGCGACTTCACCTCATCATGCAGTAACAGGACTGTGCATGCTGAGTCTTTAACTCAAAAGGAGTGTTTTCTTCCCCCAGTGCTGATGGGGCAGTGGAGTTAGACTGTGACAAACTTATAGACAGACTTGGACCTACTCTCTCACCAATGTCTCCCATACTTGAAAAGGTCATCCTCAGAGTCACTTCTGCATGTCCAGGATGCTCGCCAAAGAGTGAGCTCAGCAGTGTTATCCAAAGCATTTCTTTAGCGCTGGGGTCAAATTTACCTCTTGGAAATAATACCCCTACACTCAGTGGAGTTAGACAGGGATAAAACAGCTGTGAGGGATAAATGTAGACCTGCAGGAATAACACTGTGGGATGAATGCACAGCTGGTGTAAGTGATCATACACTGAAAACCAGTATCCTGCAAGAGCTTATGGCCCTGTTTGTCCCCTGGGTCAGGCCAGCACAGCCCACACCACAGCTTCTTTCAGGCTCTGCGCTGGGCACACTGTGACACGTGCACTGCTCCTTGTCATGATGTATGTGACAGGGACAAAGGTTCTGGCAAATCCTCGACAGAGTAGTGTCATCTATCCTGCTCCCCTCCACCCTGAATGATGGATGAGACCCCATCTTTCAGGAGATGTGAGCTCAGCTCCTAGCATCTCTCCTCCATCCTCCAGGAAAAGCAAGCTCTGTTCCTGGCATCTCTGCTCCAGCTCAGATGGGTTCCTGGAGCCCCCTCGTGGCTCTTTCCACTGAATCCATCCTCGGGGAGCTGCTGGTGGGGCCCACAGCACTCTGCTGCGGGTTCTTTTTGCAGGTCCAGTGGTAGGGAGGCAGCAAGACCCATCCTGGAGATGTCACTGAAGGACAGGGCATGGAGGTGACAAGAGGGACACTCATCCGACACTGACCATCAGAGAGGGCAGATAGTTGCAAAGCCGTCTTCCTGCTTTGTGAGATTGGGAGGAGCACCTTTGCAGTCCCTTGCCCTTGGAGTGTGCTGCACAGTGCGCAGTACATGATGCAAGTCCCAGGTGGATGTGGCCATAGCCCAGACTTGGAATGCAGGAGAGGGAGGATGTACAGGCATGGGAAAAGGGGGATATATGACAATGGTCAAATGAAGAAAAAGATGGGGAAAGGAGGCTACACAGTGGTGGGAATAAGAGGCTTGAGGGGTGCTGGCAAAGGCAGGCTTTGTGGAGAAGAGTGAGGAGCAGCTTGGAGGCAGCATGCACAGAGGTGGTGAGCAGGGGAAGAAGGCTTGCTGCCGTGAGTAGGGGTGTCTGTGTCTCCCACGGGCCCTGTCTGCCACTAGACAGTACTTGAAGCTCTGCCTGTGGTGGCTGGGGGGGACAGTGGCCAAGCACACTGCGCTCTGTGGGGCTTTCAGATCTGCTCCTTTCAGGCAGCTCCCACAGATAATTCTACCCCATGGGCTGGGTAAGGAGAAATTGTAGAGGTGGGATGGCTTTCAGGGACAGTGTCCCTGGGCCATGCCAGCCCTCCTCTGGCATTTGCCCTGTTTTAAGGCTCATGCCACAGCCCTTGGCAGAGGTAACTTGCTGAGGTACATACAGTATTGACTAGAAGGTACCTAAAAAGATAATCTATTGCACTATCAGCACAGCCCAGTGGCTATTTGCAATAAATCAATGCTTCATTTGACTGCAAGAGAAAATCAGATCCATAATGCTGTGAATGGAAATATTGAGCCCTCTTTCTCCTCTTTCAACCCCATCATCTGCCCTTGCATGCACACCGTGAGACACAGATCATGGGTTGTACCCTGGCTGCCAGAGCATGCTTATGACTGATATGGAATGATTTGGATTGTTTCAGCAACCTAGCATTCCCTCCTCTGCTGAGACAAGTCTTGGGGGAGCCCCAAAGGATGCACATAACACTGAAACAGAATCAGAGAAATGAGAATGCTGTGTCACATATTTGCCCAGTCAAATGGATCTTCTCCTACTGCTGTGTTGCAGCCACTGCATCACTGACTCTTGACAGAGCTGTGACTTTG